TTGGCCTGCTGTGTTCATCCAGCTCTACACCTTGTTATCTCACTGTCCTTTATGTAATGTTTTATCCAACTCAGAAACATCTCTAAGGGTTTCATATACAATGAATTACTTTGAAATGTGGTGATTGTCATTGGTAACCAGGGTACACACAGCAAGATCCCAGAAACAGAACCAGGTGAAAGAAGTGTTGCTGGTGATGATGAACAGTGAAATCCCGGCTCTGACACTGCGATAAACTCTCCGCTCTTCGCTGAGTGGTGGCCTGGGATCTCTAACATGACCCAGAATCAGCTGATGGGGCGTGAGCTCAATGGCAGGGCAGTGGAGAGGTCAGCTCTGTGTTGGAGAGCCAGCCAGGATCTGGGGCTGCATTTCCTCACGGCGTCTCCCACTCTGTGGCTGTAACTGTAGCAGGAGATCAATGGGAACCCCATTAATACCCTCAGCAGAGCTCACCAGAGTGAAGTTGGTGGAGCTTTGGGGTAATATCCCCGTCTGTGTTCTTAACCATGAGAGTAGGGCTTTCTGTCCAATCAATGGATAAAGACTTTGTATAACTACATGCAAATAAAACTGTGACTGTTGGTTTAATTTATGGAGCTTCCACTGTGAATGCACAAATCAAACATTGTACCTTATTAACTCCTCGTGTATACACTAAGTCCCCGTTCCTTCATGAGAACTTGGGTTGAAGGTGCAGATTGTAATGTGGACAGTGTTGCACTCTCAGGGTGTCTCTCTCAGACAGGTTTACAGTGAATCAAACTTTGATGGAAAGAACTATACAAATAATCCAACTGCCTCTACTCTTCCCCATTGTGCTATAAGTTCCTCCTCTTCAAGTATTTATCCAACTCCCTTTTGAAAGCTATTATTCACTACCGTATCAGGCAGGGTGTCCCAGATAGAATCATAGAATCCCTATAGTGCGAATAAAGGCCACTCAGCCCATCCAGTCTGAACCAAAACTCCGCACAGCATCCCACTCAAACCTACCTTAGCATTTTACTGTTGCTAATCCACCAAAACTCCGTACAGCATCCCACTCAAACTTACTTTAGCATTTTACTGCTGCTAATCCACCAAAAACAACAGCTTATTGCATTGAAAAATTTTCCTTCGTTTTGTGTCAATTAAATCTTCCAGTAACTCTCTGGTTACTGACCCTCCAGAGACTGGAAACGGTTTCTCCGTGCCTTCCCGTTAAAAAAAAACTCTCTTAATTTTGAATATCTTTGTCACTGCTTTCTCTAATTCTCAGCTCTAAGGAGTGCTATCCCAGATTCCCTTCATTTAAAACATCCCTTGCAACATTCTAGTAAACCACATTAATGTTGACCTGGAGTCACATGTAAGACCAGAAGACAAAGAAGCAGAAAGAGGTATTCAGCCCATCAAGTTTGCTCTGCTCTTCAATGAGATCATGGCTGATTAATAATCCTCAGCCTCACTTTCCTGCCTTTTCCCCATGACCCTTGATTTCCCTTTACTGATTAATCTGACTGTATGAGTCTTGAATGTTCTTAACAACACAGTCTCTACAGCTTTCTACAGTAAAGAATTCTATAGATTCACTACCCTTGAGAGAAGACATTTCTCCTTACCTTTGAGTTAAATTGGTGACTCCTTACTTTGAGATTTTGTTCTCTGGTCCTAGACTCTCCCACAAGGGGATAAAGGACCTCTCTGCATTTAGCCAGTCAAGACACTTAATCTTGTATGTTTCAATAAGGTCACTTCCCATTCTCTAGACTGGCTGATTTCCTTAGCTAAAGTGCATTACTGAGTCAGATGGGTTTTTAAGACAATCTAATACTTTCCTGGTCTCCATTACTGAGACCAGCATTTTATTTCAGATTAATTTCGTTAACAGAATTTAAAGTCTCCAGATGTTGTATTGGGATTATTAGTCTAGGCCTCAGTAACACAATCGGAGACTACAATACCCACTGCCACCTTCAGAGATCTGTGTACAAACAACTTGTGGGAAAAGTGAGAGAAGCATCTTTCATCAGGAATCAAAGGACAAAGAGCAAAATTAGTAAGAGGGAGGTCAATATATCAGCTGGTATACACTGGCTACCTACCCTCAGATACGAAGTCTCCTTCACTCTCAACCTTTTCAGGCAGTTGTTCCTCAGCCTGGTTAGCATCTATTATAGGAAAATGTGAGATCATGTACAAGTTTATGTAAAATATAGTTAACAGATCAGTTCTAATCATTTCGGGTAAAAAAAATCTCCATATAATTATTTATGTTTCAGAAACAGTTTTAAGGGTTCTGTACTGAATGGATTAGTTTGAAATGCAGTGGATTGTTGTTGGTTACTTGGTAAGCAGTTCGCACACAGCCAGATCTAAAAAAAGACAGAGTTGAATGGAAACCCCAAGAGTACACACTGTTAAGTTGGAGAACAGGAGCAGCTTTGAGAACATTTCCTCCTCTATGCTCTCAGCCATCCAGGTAAGGATTGCCTTAATTTTGAACACCTCTATTAAACCTGCTTTAACGCTGTCAGATCTAACAAAAACAATCCCATCTTTTTTTTTCACTTCAGCAAAGTCCATCATCAGAAGCATCATTCTGATAAATCTCCTTTGTGCTCTCTTTTCTTCCTGAAGCTTTGTTTCTCATATTCCAGCTCAGGTTTATTCTATGAGTTGAAAGTTAATTATAAAATGCTGGATCCCATTCACTAATTTTTTAAACAACATTATCAACTTTTTAAAATTTACTCACAGAACATGGCCTTCTCTGGCAAGACCAGAGTTGTGTTTGATACTTTCCAGGCTATCCCCCAGCATCCTGTGATAGAATGCATGGGATGGACCACCATTGCTGGGAGAGTTGCAATAAGCAATCAAAAAGATGAAAAACAACAAATTCTTGGCCCCCAGTATTCCAGCTGAGGTCTTCAATGTTGGTGGGCTTTCGCTCAGAACAAGACTTCATTAATTTGTTTTATGGATTTGGGAGGAAATCTGGGTGTTCTTGTGCATCAAAAACAAAATGTTAGCATGCAGATGCAGCAAGTAATTAAGAATTCAAATGGAATTTTGCCTACAGGCTTGGTGTTCACAAACAGGAAAGTCTTGTTATAGCTGTACAAGATGTTGGTGAGATCATACCTGGAGTACAGTGTACTATTTTGGTCCTTGATATTTAAGAAAGGATATTGTGGCATTGGAGACTGTTCAAAAGAGATTCCTTAAGCTGTATCTGTGCCAAAACAAAACAGATCAGTGTAGATATACATGATCTCCATGTTGCGGATAATGGCAGTGTCATTGCCCACTCTGTGCCAGATTTGCAAGTCACTCTCAAGCTCTTCAACTCTGCAGACATGAGACTTGGTCTGTCCTTGTATGTTGCCAAAACTAAACTCATATCAGCCCAGAGTTGGTCAAATTCCCATCTCTTGTATACGCTGAAGGAGAGGCTCTGGGATGTGTTGACCATTTCCCATTCATCGGCAGCTACTTCTCTCGAGAGGTCATTAATAACAAGGATGATTGGATCAACTGTACCAGCTCAGCCTTTGATGAACAATGGCAGTGAATGTTCGATAACAAAGATCTCCAAAAGTCAAAAAAAGGTCTGAGGTGTACAGAGCAGTTGGTGTCACCACACTCCTGTACTGCGGTGAGGCCTGGACTGTGTAAGAGTGTTAGAGAAATTTCAGCAGCAACGCCTCATGGTCTCCCCTGGGTTTAACAGGAGGACAGTCAAATAGATTCTACTGTCCTTCTTGAAGCCAGCTCCACAAGGAGTCAGGCAAGACTCCTGCAAAACCAATTACGTTGGACAGGACTCAGTGTCCAGCGGCTGGATAACCTCTCCAGCCAGATCCTGTTCTCTCAACTCTCAAGAGGTGAGTGTTTCAGGGGAGAATGAAGGAAATGCTTCAAAAATCCTTAAAAGCTTTCCTTGAAGCACAGCAGTATTGCAGTTAATGACTGGGAATAACTTGCTAGCAGTCATTCAAAACAGCGACAACTTGCTCGTTGACACACATCAGACTTTCAGTCCAACTGCTTTAAGAATACACAGTGCAGTAACAAAGTGAAGGAAGCAAAACCTGCACTCCAGATCCCACCATTCACGGCACATCCTGCTACATGTGTCTGAAATCTGTGGGTCGAGAATCATATTGTTCACTCCAATGAAGACCCACAGCACAAACTCATGGGTTTCGATTTCAAATCAAGCAACAGCTGATGATGATAATTCTAGACATCACAATGACGAGTCCCAGCAACAAAACCATGAAACTGCTGTAGCTCAATGCCTTCAAACATCAGTGTACATACACCTGGGGGCAAAGCAACTGGAGCATTTTAAAACAGGATTTGAGGACAGAGAGTAAAATGAGCCAGAGGGAGGTCAGTGTGTGAGCTGCTATAACAGGTCACTATGCACTGGTCACTGTCTAAACTGACAACTTACCCTCAGACACGACATCTGCTTCACTCTCAACTTTTTCAGGCACTTCTTCCTCAACCTGTTTGTCAGCTATTGTAGAAAAGTAAAAGGTCATGTGTCATATAGTCAACAGATAAACTCGAAATTGCTGGAGAAAAATGTCTTTCACATGATGTGTCTTATCCAACAGTAACATAGACAATGAATTGCTTTGAAACACAGTGATTGTCACTAATACCTTGGTAACCAGTCTACACACAGAAAGATCCTAGTAACTGGCTGAAAGAACCATTGCTGGTGATGATGAATGGTGAAATCTCAGCTCTGACACTGCAAGAGGGGTGGGGCTGCTGAAGGAAAGGACTAAATGTATGTCCCTCAGAACCCCAGTTACTCACTCACTCATTCATCCACATTCCTGAGTTGCAGTCAGAAACTCACTCATTCACCATCTACACAGCACAGTAGTCACTGAAACCCTCACCCAGTTCCCGAGTCATCCACTCATAGATCATAGAATCTCTACAGCATGGAAGCAGGCCATTCAGTCCATTGAGTTAAGACTGACCCTCTGAAGAGCATCCTACCCAGATCCACCCCTGACCCTGTTCCTTTAATCCTGCATTTACTCCACCTAGCTTGCACATGCATGGACACTATGGGCAATCTATCTAAGTTGCACATGTTTGGACTGTGGGAAGAATCCAGATCATCCGGAGGAAACCCATGCAGACACAGGGAGAATGTGCAAACTCTCCACAGACAGTTACCCAAAGGTGGAATCAAACCCGGCTCTGTGGCACTGTGAGGGAGCAGTGCTAACCACTGCGCCATCATGCTGAGCCTATTCACCACCCACCCAGCTCCCAACCAATTTCCAATCAATCCACCAGACCCTGAGACAGTTCCTCACCCAAATCCACACTCTCACCATTCACTACCCCGGTGCCTACACCATCCCCCCCCCCCCAGCCCCCCTTCCACCCCACCACCCACCCCTCTCCTAATCTCCCCATCCCCACAGACCTGGTTTGGGATCAGTATCCCAGGGGTCCCAGGTTGTGCAACCACTGAGAGCCCTCCCCCACAACAGGGAATGACCCCCCCGTCCCCCCACCCCCGGCTGCTGACCAGCCCAATGCTCACTCCCTAACTCCACCCACCCCCATGGGCCAATCTGCTGGACTCTCCCACCCACAACACCAGGTCAGCTTCCTGTCAATTCCCTCCCTGACCAGCCCCTCTCTTCCTGAATAGTCCCAATTCCCACAGCTCCAGACCTTGGGCATGTTCCATCTCTCCCCATGAGCTGCACACTGCTCCTACAGCAATGGACAGATTCACTCTCATGTTTGCTGCTGATAGGTTCACAGGTCAGGGCTCATTAAGAGAAATGGACTCTGGGGCAGGAGCTCTCATTTTCAAAATCGTCCAGTTACATTACGACGCCCCCACCCAGGGAGGGTCAACACTGCAGCCTACACCCTGTGCACTGACAGGGCCTGGTCTACAGAATCAGCTGGAGCTCGGACCAGCTAAATAGAGCAGATCTCCTTCCTTAAAGAACATTCCTGAACCAGGTGAATTTTTAATGCAATCTGGTACTTTCATGGCTTCCGTTATCAACAGAAACTTTTTATTCCAGATTTATATCATTCATTGAAATGCAATCCTCCCCTAGCTGTGCTGGGAACTTGCTAATGGGTCAGTGGTCCAGGCCTCAGGGTGACTAACCCAGCTCACACAACCACATGACTAATACAGCCCCTCCTGCCTTCCGAGGTGTGTGTACATACAGTGGCAGGGGAGGTGACAACACCATTTTTAATCAGGATTCGAGGACAGAGAGTAAAACGAGCCAGAGGGAGGTCAGTGTGTGAGCTGCTATAACAGGTCACTATGCACTGGTCACTGTCTAAACTGACAACCTACCCTCAGACACGACACCTCCTTCACTCTCAACTTTTTCAGGCACTTCTTCCTCAACCTGTTTGGCATCTATGACAGAAAAGTAAAAGCTTATGTGTCATGTCGGGATATCAATGTCAACAGATAAATTCTGATCACTTCTGGAGAAAAATGTCTTTCACGTGATGCATCTTATCCAACTCAGAAACATCTCTAAGTGTATCATAAACAATGAATTGCTTTGAAATGCAGTGATTGTCAGTTACTTGGTAACCAGTTTACACACAACAAGATCCCAGAAACAGAACTGGGTGAAAGAACTGTTGCTGGTGATG